CTTTGAAAATATGTAAAAAAATGTAGATTTACTTTTGGAGCACTACGCATGTGAACATAAATCTGTTTGGACAGTTTAACCCTTTGACTGTCGAGGTCGTATATATACGTCTTACGAGGTACCGTGTTTGGCGTATATATACTCATAAATTCTAGCGGCTTCAAATCAGGCAGGAGAAAGCTGGTAGGCCCACATGTGAGAGAATGGGTCTATGTGGTCAGTGTGCACCATATAAAAAAAATTCTGGAGCACGCAGTGCATAATGAGAAAAAAACTCCAACCGTTTTTTTTTTTTTTTAATTAAAATGCCGAATTTGTGGTCCATTTTCGTATAGTATTTATGGTTGTATTCTCGTTTTCTTGGTCTCATTTGATATAATGGAAAGCATATTATAGAAATAGAGGTGATTTTTATTGATTTTACTATAAAAAAAACCTGGAAATGGAGCTCAAAGTAGGGGAAATGTTTGATTTTTGCCGATGTTCAAAAGTAAACAAATGATGTCATTGTCCAGTAAATGTCCAACTAGCCATTCTAATATGCAGTCATGAATGGGTTGATGTTATTTATACAATTATTACAGTATTGCAGTAGTAGTCTGCATAACAGTAAATCTTCTATTTTTTGTTTGAATAAAAATTCAAAATAGAAAGCAAGAGTAATATCAGAGGGGCCTGGAGACATGACTGATGAACAAAGAAAATGTTATTTTAGATCCAGGAATGTCTGCATTGTTCATTCTGGACCCTATTTTGAAATTGTCATATTTTTTAATTTTCGTGAAATTGGCCAAATTGCAAATTTCTGACCATGTTATTGGGTAGTTGAAATCGGTAAATGGGCAGTTTCTTGTACTCAATCGATAGAAAAAATGGAGTTCTAAAGAAATAGCTATGAGTTTGGTCGACTGGAACAACGGAATTAGTCGAAAATAGGGCTCAAAGTGGGCAAAATCGCCGATTTGTAAATATCGCCGAGGTCGCTAACTTTGCAAGAGCGTAATTCCTTCAGTTTTCCATCAAATTTCGTGTTTTTGGTGTCATTACAATCGGGAAAAGATTCTCTATTATTTCATAAGAAAAAATCATTTTTTTTTTTTTTTAAATTTTGCGACACCAGGAGACACTTCAGGATTGGGGGTTGCGACAGTCAAGGGGTTAAGGGTTAAATGTCATATATTACATTAATATAGACATTTCCATTAATCCATCTATATTTTTTCAAAATTATATAATAGGCTCGCTATGTAACATATACACATGATTCATACACCCACAGTATAAAAATTGACATAAATATGAGATTTGTTTACCAAGTGGATTGTAGAGTGTCAGAAGAATTACGTTTTCTCCAGTCAAACACCAGTTACTTAACTGTAGAAAAATATTTCTTTCGTATACCTTCACTCTATAGCTATTCACGACTTGTGGGTTTAGTGCTTCTTTTTAATTATTATTATTATAATAATAACTTTTAATAATAATAAGTTGTAATAATAACTTGTCAGAGCATCAGTCCTTCTAAAAATGATGTTACACGAGAATGGAAGTGTTGGTCTTATTTATTCTACTGTACCACTGTGGAGACAACTTGCACACAATGTAAGGTGTTTGTATGAACATGTATCAACAATAACCAGACGTGTTTGTTTACATAAGTACTCTGTTGCTCTGTCCTCTTACTGCTTCTCTCTCTCTCGTTTATTCATTTTTATCTTCCTTACTCACCTCTAACCCTACATTAAGACTACGAATATTTTAACGTAAGTAATGAGTGTACTGTATGTGCATCTTATCACATTAGGGCGCTTTAAGCGTTGTAGTATATTACGTGTGGGTGGGGTGGCCAAGAGGGCTACCATACCTCTCACCCTACATTAAGACCACATATATTTGAAGGTGAGTAATGAGTGTACTGTATATGCATCTCATCACTTTAGGGCGCTTTAAGCATTGTAGTATATTATGTGTGGGTGGGATGGCCAGAAGGGCTACCACACCTGACTTCTTACAGTAAATACTACTCACCTTTTGCCCTGCATTAAGACTACCAATATTTTGAGGTAAATATAAGTGTACTGTATGTGTATTTTACTTTTTTTTGTTTTTTAATGCCTAGTTCTATTGCTAACTTAATATATGTTAGTGTAAGCTTGTTATCTGGCATTTATATACATTTATAAGTGGAAAAAATGGTGTTCTGCTTTCCGGCGATGTCCACTTTGCGGTGGTAGCCTGGAACCTAACCTGGCTTATAAGTGGGGCCATACTGTACATGCTTTAGAACTCTTATCAGAGAACCACATCCATAAACTATGCAAAAATTTCCAGCCAGTGGTTTAACCAGATACTACGTATATTCAGATCCTTGTAAATGTAATCCAGTAATTGTAAATCAGAAAAAGCCAGGAAAGTAGGTGAGTATGCACACAGTGCCTGCAATAACCTAACCACTGAAGGTTGTGGTGACACCATAGTCACATTTTTATCATTTTTAATTTGCACAGAGCAGTTATCAAAATTCTGACAGTAAGGAAAGAAGCTGGTGTTCAAATATTGTATGATTAACTATATCTTTAATTTATATTTTAAATGGTAACTAACAGCAAGAAATTTAATAATGGGACACCATAGTTCAGTTGTATTTTAAATGGTGTTCATTGACCTAAGCAGAAGTGTCTTATAAGTACAGTGGACCCCCGCCTTACGATATTAATCTGTTCCTGAGAGCTCATCGTAAGCCGAAATTATCGTTAGCCGAATTAATTTTCCCCATAAGAAATAATGGAAATTAAATTAATCAGTTCCTGACACCCCAAAATATGAAAAAAAAACAAATTTTTTACCACATGAAATATTAATTTTAACCCTTAACCCTTTCAGGGTCCATGCCGTAAATCTACGGCTTTACATTCAGGGTCCAAACCGCAGATCTACGCCATGAGCTCAGCTCACTCTGATAAGCTGTGAGTGGTAAATTTGGGCCTAGATATGAGAGAATACATCTACGTGGTATGTGTGCACCACATAAAACAAATCCTGCAGCACACAGTGTATAATGAGAGAAAAAAACTCAAACCGTGATTTTCGATTAAAACAACGACTTGGCAGTGTTTTTTCGTATGTTTTTTATAGTTGTATTTGCGATTTCTTGGTCTCATTTGATAGAATGGAAGACATTTGCAGAAATAGAGATGATTTTGATTGGTTTTAGCACTGGAAATGGCTTGAAACTGAGCTCAAAGTAGCAGAAATGTTAAATTTTTGCCGATGTTCAAGAGTAAGCAAACGACCTCACACGTCTAATACGCGCCAGCTGGTGGGTCTAATATACATTCACAAATGTGGTGATGATATTTGTTCAATTATTACAATATTACATAACAGTAAATCTTCTATTTTTTGGTTTGAATAAAAATTCCTTATGTGAATAAAAAATCAAAATGGAATCCATTTGCAAAGCCTCAAAACGTAACTAATGAACAGAGGAAATGTTAGTTTAGTGCCAGGAATACCTACATTGTTTATTCTGGACCCTGTTTTGAAATTGGAATATTTTGAACTTTGTGTTAATTTGGCCAAATTACCAATTTCCGATGACTTTATTTTGTAGTTGAAACAGTTGACTTGGCGATTTCTTTTGCTCAATCGATAGAATAGAAGTAACACTAGTGAAATAGCTAAGAATTTGGTCGACTGGAATAATGTAATTGGCCTAAAATGGGAGTCAAAGTCGGCAAAATCGCCGATTCGTAAATATTGCTGACACATCAAAATTCGCAAGAGCATAATTTCGTCAGTTTTCCATCAAATTTCATACTTTTTGTTTTATTACCTTCAGAAAAAGATTCTCTACCATTTCATAAGAAAAAATAATTTTTTTTTTTTTAATTCTTGGACCCTGGTGCGCACTTTGAAGTTTGGCCTCTGGACCCTGAAAGGGTTAAACTGTCCAAACGTAGATCTACGTTTTTTTCAACATTTGAAAGTATGTAAAAAAATGTTGATCTTTTTTTTTTTTTTTTTTTTTTACATTTGAAAACGTGTAAAAAACTTTACCTACTTTTTTTTTTTTTTTTTTTTTTTTTTTGTTATATTTGAAAATATGTAAATAAAAAAAAAACATAGATCTACTTTTGGAGCACTACGCATGTGAACGTAAATCTGTTTGGACAGTTTAAGGGTTAATGCACACAAACTGAAGAAGACAGGCACAATTACTACTCTACTAAGAATAGAATACATGACACTTACCTTTATTGACGATCTGGTGATGATTGATGGGATGGGAGGAGGAGAGTGTGTGGAAGTTATTGTTTAGAAGGGGAGTCCCCTTTCATTAGGACTTGAGGTAGCAAGTCCTTTTCTGGGGTTACTTCCCTTCTTTTAATGCCACTAGGACCAGCTTGAGAGTCACTGGACCCCTGTCACACAATAAATCTGTCCATAGAGCTCTGTACCTCCCGTTCCTTTAAGACTTTCCTAAAATGGGCCATAACATTGTCATTGTACAGGTTGCCAACACGGCTTGCAGTAGCTGTGTCAGGGTGATTAAATCCATAAAGGTTTGCAGTTCAACCCACTTTGCACACATTTCCTTAATCTCTTTTTTCAATTCCATACTAATTCTCGCCCTTTTTACCACAGGGATGGCACTAGAAGCTTTCTTGGGGTCCTTGGTGACTTATTTTGCAGTTACAAGCACTAAAAACACTGGGAAAATGTGAAATGTACTGAATGTATGCATAGATGCGACTGCACTGGCTGGTTTGTAAACACTGGTGCTGAGGCCACACGTGAGACACGTCCCAGACGAATCATGTAAAGCGAGTTTTTTATTGTGAGGAGAGGCAAAATTTTTGCATTCGAATGCTTTATTTGGCGGATTTAACATAACGCGATGCGTTCCTAAGGCGGGGGCCCACTGTATTATCTATTTCGTGCCTTTTCTAAATCTTGTGCCTAATACTTGTATCGCAAAAAACCTCTGTCTACTACAGTTTGAAACCCCAATTCATAAGTTGATGGTCAGTGGAGATAGTGTGTATGTTGTCTTCACAACTGGACAAGTAGAAGATCTTGCCACGGCTATAAAATCACGTAAAAAACTCAAACCCGGGCTGCTGTCTGATGGAGAGTCGATCAGCTACATTCAGATCATTGAGGCTACCAAGCTAGTGGTTGTGGTGGTGAAGAAGGAGGTAAGATACTGCATTTTACTTCTTTGTATCATTTTATGTATTTCACAGAAAAATCTGACAGTGTATCTGGTTATTATTATGGTCAAAAAAAAAAAAATACAGTAATATGGTACAAGATATGGTTGTATATAGCAAATCAGTGAATAGTGGTTAAGCATAAAATAGAGATGATAATATTGTCTAACAAGTAAAAATTTGTTTTGATTCAGTTGGAATACAGTGGAACCTCAGTACTCGAACTTAATTTATTCCAGAAGGCTGTTTGAGTGCCGATCCATTTGAGTATTGAACAAATTCTTCCCAACCAACTAATCTTCATAGGCCCCATGCGGCAAAAAATGCAAAGAAACACGAAATAGTTTACAGCGAAGTTCTGGCAGGTCATGTTTGTTTGGTCGAGTGCTGAGATTTGTTCAAGTAGGGATCTGTTTGAGTACTGAGGTTCCACTGTATTACTTATCAAATGTTAGAGAAATTATGAAGGAACACTAATTATACCAGAAATGTTATAAATGGTGCAAAGGTGACATAAGAACAATATCAAAAATGATTGACACAAATTCACTACCATTATAGTATGTCCTCATTTAGTAACGAATTCATTTAATGTCGTGGTCTTAGGATCAGAACTCCGTCATTAAGTGAGGAGAGGCTGTACTGCAGTTGGAATTGTGAGATGTATGCACTTCTGGAGAAAGCGATTGATGGTGAATGTATTATGGTATACTCAGCCAGCTTCTTATACTTTCCACAGGGCAGCCCTCTTAGATTACTGCGATTGCCGCTGGCTGAACTTGTCTCTAGTACCACCAGTAGTTTCACCTTAGCTCTAAATAATGCTCAACTCACAGGAATCTGTGCACTATCATCTTCAGAGCTAATTACACTTTGTATGTAAAGTGCTTTTCTTTATTATTTTTTATTAATTTTTAATTTAAATTACTTATTTTGAAATATGTTATAGCTACCTATACCTTATTTTGGTTAAATTTGAGTTAATCATTGGTGATCAGTAATACAAATTGACATAAGAATTGGCACAAAAATTTATTATAGCATAGCATACAGGATAATATTTTTTTTCAACATGTTTATTAATATTGTCTACCAGGGTCTTCAGGAGAGCTATATAGCTTTGATCTTCAGAAGGACTACCTTGAGAAACTTCCTGGACGGCAGCATGGAGTGGAAAAGTCGATAGTAACATCCAAAAGCTCAAAAATTTTGGAGCTGTCGCCAAACCATATTTCTATTATTGGCTTAGATAAGGGGGATGAAGGTAATCAAATGATGTATTAATGTTAGTTTAGTGTAGGTTGGTGTGGGAATGTATTCAGCTCAGAATGATGGTGATTTTGAAAAGATTTCAGCGTTTTTTTGTACACGTGTTAGCCTCGCATCAAATATTTGCTGCATTTACTTGAGTGTATAGTTTTTTACTTAATTGTAATGGTGTAATTGTTTTTTAAATGTTAAGCTTTTACTAAAAATAAATTTATTAAGAAAGAAAGAGCCCTAAACAGATGGCTTTCATACTTGTGCTTAAATTATCTGCATTTTTTAACAAGTAATTTACTTCGCAGCAGTTTGGGCTTCCAGCTTTGCCTTGCTTATTTTTCTAATGTGAAGGTTTCAGCCCAGCATAAGCTAATTTTTTTTTAAGCCTTGTACCATATACATTGTTGTCCATATAGTAAACTAATATTTATTGTTTTCAGTTATCTTCAATCACTATTCTTTTCTATACAATTATGCTCTTTATCATTTCCTGTTTCTGTTAACCCTTTCAGGGTTTCCGACATACTAGTACGGCTTACACCCCAGGATTTTTGACGTACTAGTACGCCTAAATTCTAGCGCCCTCAAATCTAGTGAGAGAAAGCTGGTAGGCCTACATATGAAAGAATGGATCTATGTGGTCAGGATGTGCAGTATAAAAAAAATCCTGCAGCACAGTGCGTAATGAGAAGAAAAAAATTTTGACTGTTTTTGGCACTGTATTTTCGTATGGTATTTATGATGGTATTCTAGTTTTCCTGGTCTCATTTTATAGAATGGAAGACATATTACAGAAATTGAGATGATTTTGACTGGTTTTATAATGAAACGTACCTTGAAATTGAGCTCAAAGTAGCAGAAATGTTCGATTTTTACCAAAGTTCAAAAGTAAACAAATCATGCCAAGCATCCAATACACGTCAACTGGTGAGTCTAATATTCTTTCACAAGTATGCTGATATTATTTATACCATTTATACACTAATGCAGTAGCCTGCATAACAGTAAATCTTCTATTTTTTGTAAGAATAAAAATTCAAAGTGGAAAGCTAAAGAAATATAAGAGGGGCCTGGGGATGTGACTAACGAACAGAGAACTTATTTTAGTGCCAGGACTGTCTTTTTTTTGTTTATTCTGGACTATATTCAGAAATTTGCATCTTTTGAAATTTGTGTGAAATTGGCAAAATTGCTAAATTCTGACCACTTTATTGGATAGTTGAAATCGGTAAATGGGTGGTTTCTTGTACTCATTCGATAGAAAAAATGGAGTTCTAGCAAAATAGTTATGATCTTTGTCAACTAGTACACTGGAATTTGCCGAAAATAGGGCTCAAAGTGGGCAAAATCGCCGATGCATAAACATTGTCGAGACCGCTAACTTCGTGAGAGCATAATTCCGTAAGTTTTTCATCAAATTTCATATTTTTGGTGCCATTATGATCGGGAAAAGATTCTCTATCTTTCCATAAGAAATTTTTTTTTTTTCTTTTTTAAATTTGGGGACCCTGAGAACAAGTCTCGGAGAGGGCCTGGGGAGCCTGAAAGGGTTAAATGTATATTATGTACGGGTGGGGTGGCCACACCTACCTAACCTACCACACCTGACCCCTTTCAATAAATACATACCTCTCACCCTATATTAAGACTACAAATACTTTAAGGTAAGTAATGAGTGTCCTGTGTGTGTGTATTTTACTTTTTATTGTTTTTTAATGCCTAGTTTTATTTCTAACTAAATATATGCTGTAAACTTGTTATCTGGCATTTATATCATTCATAACTGGAAAAAAAAATACGGCATTTTGTTTTCCGGCGATGTCCACTTTCTAGCGGTAACCTGGAACCTAACTTGCTGTATAAGTGGGGCCCTACTGTATTTTAATAAAAAACTGCACACATAATTTTGCAAAATGTTGATAAAAATTAAGCTCAAAAGTATCATACAGCAATTAGTATTTTGCTAGAAAAATATGGGACAATGGTATATTTGTATATCAGTGGATGTATTTATTAACAGTAGTTTCAGCAGTGTTTTACAATACTAGGGGCTAATAAATGTTATTTGATATTTATTACACAGAAATTTTTTTTACCTGTATTTATATATTATACAGCAGAAAAAAAATTTTTTGCTTTGAATGACATAATTATATTTATCTTTACCTTTCTGTGTAAAATAATATTGTGTGATAATGAAGTGAACATGTGAGCTGGGATGGTATAATATTCCACAGGTGGATTGCTAGTTCTTTGGGATATTAAGTTTGCTATGGTGACCAGCAGTCGTAAGCTCAAGATGTACCACAATCCACCCCTAGCCTGGGTATCAACTGAGGGAGTCATAGTCCTTGATGGTGGGTCGCTGGCTCTTATCCCATATATTGTTCAAGAATCTAACCTGGCAACAATATTTGGTACCAAGGTATCAGGTGAGTCCTCATCTTTCAGGTTTCTTATGTTTACTTTATCAGTAGCATGTGATGGTTAAACACAAATGAATTGAAAGTTTGTATTAGGTACTAGCACACAAAATTTGTATGCAACTATATTTGATACCCTTAGCCATATCATAATTATTAAAAAATTAATCAACTATACTACACAATATATTCTCATTCTTAGTCTCTTAGCGAGACAAGTTATTTCTTGTAGAAGGTGAAACTAAAATGCTGGACATTAACAAAATGCAGCTTATGGCATTTTCTGAGAACACATTTCATCCACCATTTACTTTATCAATCCATCTGATGGATGAAATGCTTTCTTACTAAATACCATTAACTGTGTATCACTCTGCCTTGGTGGGATATAGTCTGTTTGTTAAAAAAAAAAACTGCATATCATGTCTTTTTCACGTACTTGTTCGTGTGTTTCACCATTGATATTCAATAGTAAACTTTAAACTTTTAAAAGAGTTTGCAAGTATGTATACTGTACTGTACAGCAAAAATACAAGCAAGATTGAGCATAGTCTTGCTAAAAAAAATGTATTTGAAAGCATATTTTGTACAAATAATCTTTGAAACAAAAAATCATTTATAGAGAGAGGTATACTTTGTTTTAATTTTAGTTTTAATTTTTAAATATAGGGAATGTATGAAGGTATAGTGGTAGCAACACTCTTACATGGGTGTGAAGCTTGGGTTGTAAATGCTGCAGCGAGGAGACGGTTTGAGGCAGTGGAGATGTCCTGTCTAAGGGCAATGTGTGGTGTAAATATTATGCAGAAAACTCAGAGTATGGAACTTAGAAGGTGTGGAGTTAATAAAAGTATTAGTCAGAGGGCTGAAGAGGGGTTGTTCAGGTGGTTTGGTCATTTAGAGAGAATGGATCAAAGTAGAATGACATGGAGAGCGTATAAATCTGTAGGGGAAGGAAGGCGGGGTAGGGTCGTCCTCAAAAAGGTTGGAGGGAGGGGGTATAGGAGATTTTGTGGGTGAGGGGCTTGGACTTCCAGCAAGCATGCGTGAGCGTGTTAGATAGGAGTGAATAGAGACGAATGGTATTTGGGACTTGACGAGCTGTTGGTGTGTGAGCAGAGTAATATTTAGTGAAGGGATTCAGGGAAACTGGTTATTTTTATATAGCTGGACTTGAGTCCTGGAAATGGGAAGTACAATGCCTGCAATTTAAAGGAGGGGTTTGGGATATTGGCAGTTTGGAGGGATATGTTATACGTATATCTTTATACATATATGCTTCTAAACTCTTGTATTCTGAGCACCTCTGCAAAAGCAGTGATTATGTATGAGTGAGGTGAAAGTGTTGAATGATGATGAAAGTATTTTCTTTTTGGGGATTTTCTTTCTTTATGGGTCACCCTGCCTCGGTGGGAAACAGCCGACTTGTTAAAAAAAAAAAAAAAGAAAATTGGCATTAATTTGTTGTCTAGTTCAGTTAGTACAGTAGCACCCCAACTTGCAATGTTCTGCTTTGATGACACTGGCATTTTGGAATCAGTCAATGACTTAGGAATACTGTCTCACTCTTCTGCTATGTGGGACTGCTTACAGCTGTGGTAGACATGACAGCAGAAAATGATGATGTGACTGTTAGTAAGCATTACTGCAGCCTTTCCTCACTTAATCATGGAGTTCCGTCATTAAGTGAGGAGAGTAGATGAATGGTTCAGAGAACCGACACGTTGATGAATTAGACACATGTGCAACTCTTGGGTATCTTTATTGAGGAAACGTTTTGCCACACAGTGGCTTCATCAGTCCATACAAAGGAGAATCTTGAACAGGAGGAGAATGAGGTAATCAGTCCCTCAACCTTAAGTCGATTGATGGACTGACCACATCGACTCAAGGTTGAGGGACTGATTACCTCATTCTCCTCCTGTTCTTCAAGATTCTCCTTTGTATGGACTGAAGCCACTGTGTGGCGAAGCGTTTCCTCAATAAAGATACCCAAGAGTTGCACATGTGTCTAGTTTATCAAGTGAGGAGAGGCTGTATATGGTTCACTCGAACCTTTCATGATTGCTTTTTTTTCTTTTATGGCAATGTCTCTTTTTAGGGGTGGGATGAAACCAAAATTTTTGCCAACACCAATATTCTTGTTATATGCTGATACTCACCATACCAGTACCATCAAATTTAGCCAGTCCCTCATCAGTTTCAATACTCGAATTTAGGCCAATGCCAATACCAATACCACCAACATTACCAGATAACTAACCTTACTGATACTTTGGCATACCCCTAGTCTTAAATATTGCTAAACTGTTTATATTAACATTCTTTGAAGGAATAACAAAATTGAGCATGGGAGAATCCAATGAGCCTATTTTGAACAAAACCCTACAGTTGCTGTTCAGTTTGAGAGTCTTGGCACCATGAGGTAGAAAAGAGTAGTGACGAAATATGTATACACAGGTTCACTTGATTTTTTTAACCAGATCTCTAAATATCATACTAAACTGGTCATATTTTCAACTGAATCCTATTTTTAGTATAGTATTCACTGTTGATACTTTCAGTGTCACGACCTCTAAAATTAAAAGTGCTAACAGTCGCAGTTTAATAAAAAAATTCTTTTGAAATAGTAGAGACTTCTTCTAAAAGTATGACACCAAAAATGTGAAATTTGATTGAAAACTAAAGGAATTACACTGGTGCAAAGTTGGCAGTCTGGACTCAATTTAGGCATCAACAATTTTGCTCACTTGGAACCCTATTATAAGCCAGTTCCATTGTTCATTTTCAGCTAAATTCCTTGTTATTTCACTAGTATGCCCATTTAACTCTCAGAACTGCAAAGAAATGAGTAACTTGTCTAATTTTACTCAAAATTCAACAAATTCCAGTTTTAAAATGGAGTCCAGTATGTATAAATATTAGGTATTCCAGTTACTAAGCAACCTATCCTCTGTTCATTAAACAGGTCCCCAGGCCTCTTGAAGACTTCTACACTTCTCCCAGCAGTGTTTCTTAGTAATTTTTGTGTCGGCTGGTTTGGCAACAAAAAACTGGTTGTCTTCAAAAATGTAATGACGCTCTAAAGTTATCTTTTCATTCATCAGTCCATCCATTTTTCTCCTATTTCATTAGTAAATTATCCTTTTCAGAAACACAAGGAATTTCCTCAGAAGATTGTCATAGCTGGTTAAAGAAAGCTGTTGGATCTTGTCCAGAGCCAGTACCTGCAGAAGCAACACAAACTATATTCTCTAATAAAAGCAGGGCACTAGGCAATTTAATTCAGAGTCTGAACAGAGGAGCTTTATCTGAGAGTTTGTAAGTATTCTAGCTATGTTTAAGAACAATTAATTAGCTCAAGGCATCTTTATACAGTGGACCCCCGGTTAACGTAATTAATCCGTGCCAGAGAGAGTGTCTTATCACGAATCTGACTTATTCCGAATTAATTTTCCCCATAAGAAATATTGGAAATACAATTAATTCATTCCAGACACCCAAAAGTATTAAACAAAATCATTTTTTACATGAAATATACATTTCCCTACATGGAAAACACTGAGGCATGCTGAGTAAAACATCACTAAAATAACACTTACCTATATTGAAGACTTATTGATGATTGATGAGATAGGAGGAGGGGAGAGGATGGATGTGTATTATTGTTTGGAAGGGGAATCCCCTTCCATAAAGACGTCAGGTACCAACTCCTTTTCCGAGGTTACTTCACTTATTTGTTTCTTAATGCCACTAGGACCAGCTTGAGAGTCACTGGTCCCCTGTCACACAAAATATCTGTCCAGAGAGCTCTGTTTCTGGCATGTCTTTAAGATTTCCCTAAAATGGGACACAACATTGTCATTGTAGATGTTGCCAGCACGACCTGTAACAGCTGTGTCAGGGTGATGTTCATCCATAAATGCTTGCACCTTTGTCCACACTGTACAAATGTCCTTAATCGTTGAAGAAGGCAACTTCCTCCATCTCTCTCCCTCCACCTCTGAAGCAAATTCCTGAGCTGTGGTCTATTGATGTTGCACTTGAAGGTCTTGCAGCTCTGTAGTGGTTAGCTCTTCATCGTGGTCCTGCACCAACTCTTCCACGTCCTCCAAACTCACATCCAACCCCATGGACTTCCCCAATGCCTCAATAGATTTCACAACTGGCATAGGCTCCTCAGGGTCAGCCCCAAACCCTTCAAAATCCCTCTCTTGTACACATTATGGCTACAATTTTCTCCAAGCAGAATTCAAAATCCTGCAAGTTACTCCCTTCCAAGCCTTACCTATAAGGTTTATGCAACTGAGGATACTGAAGTGATCTTTTCAGAACTCTCTTAGGGTCAGTTCAGTGTCTGAGGTCACTTCCAAGCACTTTTGAAACACTGTTTTGGTGTACAGTTTTTTGAAATTTGAAATGACCTGCTGATCCATGGGCTGCAGGAGAGGAGTAGAATTAGGGGGCAAGAACTTCACTTCGATGAAACGAAACTCCAGCACTATTCGCTCTTCCAAGTCTGGAGGATGAGCAGGAGCATTGTCCATTACCAGGAGGCACTTGAGTTCCAATTTATTTCCCAGGAGGTATTTTTTCACACTGGGGCCAAACACCTCATGGAACCAATCAAGGAACATGTCCCTTGTGACCCATGCCTTACTGTTTGCCTTCCACATCAAACACAATTTACTCTTGATGACACTGTTTTTCTTGAACACTTTGGGAGCTTCAGAATGATACACCAGTAAAGGCTTTACTTTCAAATCCCCACTAGCATTACTACAAAACATGAGAGTTTGCCTGTATTTCATAGGCTTGTGTCCTGGGAGTGCCTTTTCCTCCTGAGGAATGCAGGTCCCATTTGGCATTTTCTTTCAAAACGGGCCTGTTTCATCACAATTGAACACTTGTTGGGGTTTCATTTTTCAGCCTCTATGTGCTCCTGAAAGTCTTGAACATATGTTTCAGCCGCTTTTTTGTCAGAACTTTCAGCCTCACCATGCCTTATCACGCTGTGTATGCCACTACGATTCTTAAATCTCTCAAACCCCCCTTTGCTGGCCTTAAATTTACCAGTATGAGCACTAGCTCCAGGCATTTTCTTGACGAGATCATCATGCAACTGCCTTGCCTTTTCACATATAATTGACTGCATAACACTATCTCCTGATAATTGTTTCTCATTGATCCACACCGACAACAAAGTCTCCACATCTTCGAGTATTTGCGATCTCTGTTTTGTAAGCATATTTGCACCTCTCGCAACAACAGTTTCCTTGATTGCCTTTTTCTTAGCCAAGATAGTAGCAATGGCTGTATGAGGTTTGTTATACAACCAGGCCAGCTCAGAGACGAGCACTCCACTTTTGTAATTTGCGATGATCACTTTCTTGAATTCAGTAGTGTTTCTCACCCTCTTTACCAAAGGGTTGGCACTAGAAGCTTTCTAGTGGCTTATTTAGCAGTCACAAGCACTAAAAACAATGGAGTAATACAAAATGTATTGCATGTACGCATGGGCTCGTCCTCACTGACTGGTAAACAATGGCACACTGGCTGGTAAACAATGGCACACTGGCTGGTAAACAATGGCACACTGGCTGGGAATGGACTGTCCAGGCCGCTCACCCGCTCATGGGGCACGGACACATTTAGGAAGAATGACTTTTACTGAGTTCAGTGTCGTTAACCAAGCCAATATTTTGATGCAGAAAGGTTACTTAATCCGATGGTGTCTTAATCTGGGGGTCCACTGTACAATGATAATGCAATAGAAATACAAATTATATTAAAATGACATAAGACCACTTAATCCAAACAAGGCTGTACATTGTCCTAAGATATTATAATGGCTATCGATTAACAGTACTAACAGTATTCTATGGGAAATGATCTTGAAGATTGTGTGTGCAATAGTTAAGCTTCAGTACAACAGTTATCAACCATCTCACATGGTTTACATGTACGTACAGTGGAACCTTGGTTTTTGTATGCCCTAGGTTGTATGTAAAACTATAGTTATTCTAACCAAACCATACCCCGGCCGGGATTGAACCCGCGGTCAGAGAGTCTCAAAACTCCAGCCAGTCGCGTTAGCCTCTATAAAATGTATTTTTTGCTAATATTTCCCATAAGAAATAATTAAATTCAATTAATCCATTCCAGACACCCAAAAACATTAACAAAAATTACATTTTTTAGAGAGTAACTATAACTTTACATACAAACTAGGGCATACAAAAACCAAGGTTCCACTGTACAGTGGATTTGCAGGTTATGTTCCTGAAAATCAGCTCATAATGTAATGTAAAAATTTTGTGTAATATGTACAGTGGACCCCCGCATACCGTTGGCATTACATAACGTTAAATCCGCATACCGATACATTTTATCGCTAAGATTTTGCCTTGCATACCGCTAAAAAACCTGCTCAACACTGTTTGTCCGAGACGCGTCTAATGTGCGGCCTGAGCCAGCCTCACATGTTCCGCCGGTGGCATTGTTTACCAACCAGCCTGCGCGGTAACATCCAAGCATACAATCGGAACATTTCATATTATTACAGTGTTTTTGGTGATTTTATCTGCAAAATAAGTGACCATGGGCCCCAAGAAAGCTTCTAGTGCCAACCCTACAGCAATAAGGGTGAGAATTACTATAGAGATGAAGAAAGAGATCATTGCTAAGTATGAAAGTGGAGTGCGTGTCTCCGAGCTGGCCAGGCTGTATAATAAACCCCAATCAACCATTGCTACTATTGTGGGCAACAAAACGGCAATCAAGGAAGCTGTTCTTGCCAAAGATTCAACTGTGTTTTCGAAACAGAGATCGCAAGTGATGGAAGATGTTGAGAGACTCTTATTGGTATGGATAAATGAAAAACAGATAGCAGGAGATAGCATCTCTCAAGTGATCATAAGTGAAAAGGCTAGGAAGTTGCATGAGGATTTAATTAAAAAAATGCCTGCAACTAGTGATGATGTGAGTGAATTTAAGTCCAGCAAAGGTTGGTTTGAGAGATTTAAGAAGCGTAGTGGCATACATAGTGTGATAAGGCATGGTGAGGCTGCCAGTTCGGACCACAAAGCAGCTGAAAAATATGTGCAAGAATTCAAGGAGTACATAGACAGTGAAGGACTGAAACCTGAACAAGTGTTTAATTGTGATGAAACAGGCCTGTTTTGGAAGAAAATGCCAAGCAGGACCTACATTACTCAGGAGGAAAAGGCACTCCCAGGACATAAGCCTATGAAAGACAGGCTTACTCTGTTGATGTGTTCCAATACTAGTGGTGATTGCAAAGTGAAGCCTTTATTAGTGTATCACTCTGAAACTCCCAGAGCGTTCAGGCAAAAGAATATTCTCAAGGCTAATTTGTGTGTGCTGTGGAGGGCAAACAGTAAGGCATGGGTCACTAGGGACTTTTTCTATGACTGGTTACACCATGCATTTGCCCCCAATGTGAAAGATTACCTAGCTGAAAAGAAATTAGACCTTAAGTGCCTCCTGGTGTTAGACAATGCCCAAGTCATCCTACAGACGTGGCAGAGCGACTTTATGGGGACATGAGGTTCATTAAGGTGAAGTTTTTGCCTCCTAATACCACTCCTCTCCTGCAGCCCATGGACCAGCAGGTTATTGCAAACTTCAAAAAACTGTACACAAAAGCTCTGTTTGAAAGGTGCTTTGTAGTGACCTCAGAAACTCAATTGACTCTAAGAGAGTTTTGGAGAGATCACTTTAATATCCTCAATTGTGTAAACCTTATAGGTAAGGGTAAGGCTTGGGAAGGAGTGACTAAGAGGACCTTGAACTCTGCTTGGAAGAAACTGTGGCCAGAATGTGTAGACCAAAGGGATTTTGAAGGGTTTCAGGCTAACCCTGAGAGGAGTATGCCAGTTGAGGAATCCATTGTGGCATTGGGAAAGTCCTTGGGGTTGGAGGTTAGTGGGGATGATGTGGAAGAGTTGGTGGAGGAGGACAATGAAGAACTAACCACTGATGAGCTGCTAGATCAACTTCAACAGCAAGAGGCCAGACCTGAGGAAACTGGTTCGGAGGAGGGGAGAGAGAAATTGAAGAAGTTGCCTACTTCAAAGATTAAGGAAATGTGTGGAATGTGGCTTAAAGTGCAAACCTTTTTTGATGACAATCACCCTAACACAGCTATTGCAAGCCGTGCTGGTGACTATTACACTGACACTGTTGTGAAACACTTTAGGGAAGTCATAAAGGAACGAGAGGTACAGGCCACTGTGGAGATAATGTTGTGCGACAGAAGTCCAGTGACTCTGAAGCTGGTCCTAGTGGCATTAAAAGAA